GCCAACAAGAGTGCATCAAACCAACTGTATATTGTAATTTCATTATATTTAGCTCCACTGTTTCAGTCAAATTCTATTGTATAGGTCAGGGGTAGGCAACCCCCGACATGTGCCAGAGAGTGGCATGCAAAGGCATTTTGCTTGGCACATGTGCTTTGGGCAGAGGCTGAGGCTATGCTGCCACAAAAAGGATTGGGCCCCTAGTATCTCCCCCAGCATCTGCTCTTGGCACATCAACATCTTACAAGTCAAGGTTGCAGGTGATTTTGGCACTCTGCCCAAAATGTTGCAAACCCCTAGTATACTTACAAGATTTCTATTTTACTATGAACTTATGTATGAGTTTATTTTCTTAACTTGTGATAACCCTTTCTGCTAGGCACTTCAGACTATGACTGGTCCTACTCAGTACAGCTTATATTGTAAAAAGACAAAACAAATACGCCATATGAGGTGGCAGACTTCTGTAGCCATTAGAGCAAACGTGGATTATAAAGTGGGACACAAAGGAAAGTAATAAGGTGTCTTGGCAGATAGAGAGTCATAGTCACTAGATCAGAATGGCATGAAGTGTGAAAATGCTTGGGAGAGAATTGGAGAAATGGGTGACTGAGGCTGGCATCAGACAGTGTAAACATTGCAAGGGGGAGGGGGAGTTAGTGAAGGGCTCTGAAGACAGAGATGAGGAGTTTGTGGTTGCGAAAGAAAGGGAGGCAATGGACAAACTTTGAAAAAGGGTAATGAGTGTCCTTGGCAGAATGATGAGCTAGGAAGATCATTTTGGCAGCAGCATTTTACATTAATTCAAAGTGGAGAAGCGTGTGTTGGAAATAACTAATGCCAAAAGGAAGAGATTGAAGAATTCCAAACAAAATCGGGGCAGGACTTGACCAACCATTTTTTGGGGACGAACAAAAAGGAAAGAATTATTTTTTTCCAAATGTATTACTATTCCGTTTCAGTTTCCCCTGGAGTAATAGCTCTTGTTGAACTGAAGCTGCAAGGAGGGGAAAAAATATTTTTTCTTACATATATTCTAATGTTCTCAAGTGAATTATAGCTTGCAAGGCCCAGAGCTTTTGTCTCTTTGAAGAAAGTCCCAGTAGGGACAGTTTGTTTTGGGACTGTTCACTTGTTTTCAATGAGAAAATTTTTCTTAACCTTGTACCTCTCCATATGAAAATTCGGTGACCTGCAAACTAGTGCAAACTTTACAAGGTCTCCTTTAATAGCCCTTAACCTTTTTCACCACTTCTAGAAAGCCAACAATCCAGTTGATGACATTTATAACCTAGTTTCCTATCAATTGAAGAAATGACAGTATTAACCTAGCTTTACTTCTCCCAAAGAAGTGACAGCTCCTAACTTGGTTTTCTGTCTCCCCAGGCTGACAGCCTTTAAACTGGTTTTCCATCACTAAAGGGAATGGTGGCCTTTAACCTGGAGGCAGAAGGTTATAGCCCTGAAGCCACTACTCCATCATTTTGGAGGATGACCAATTTAACCTGTTCTTGAGGCCTTCAAAAGAATGACCTCCTCCCCTTAGCCATCTTTTCCACTCTTAAGAAGGGAGCTACCTTGGGAATTCACTTTCTCATGTTTCATGGAGTGATTAAGCAGATCTACTTAAATGCATTTAAAACATCACTTATGCCAGAAATGAATGGTACTGCTTTCACTAAATTAAATGTACCAATGGACTGAATTACTGTCCTGCCCACCCAAAGAAAAGCAGAAGTCACTCAGTAATTTAATAACCTGGTGTTATTTTGATTTCAGTCACTGAAAGTGACTTCAGCAGAAGACTTTTTGTGGGGAGACGTAGCTGCCCATCAAAGGATACAGACCTAATAGTTCTCCAACTTCCATCTTCTGCTCCTCTGATACCACCTCTTAGGTTAATGCACATCACAAATTCCCAAATATTACATTATTTTTTTACAAGATTCCTAAGACACTGGAACTCTGATGAAAGTAAGGGTGGAAATAGACATCGCCTGACATCGCATTTGTGCCTCCACAAACATTTTTATGGTGGCACAAACACCGAGCAAATAAACATCCATAACCTTTCTTGTGCCACATGAAAGGAAAATCAGCAGCACAACAAAAGGTGCTTCATAGACTTTTTATTGCTTTATCCCAGCGGACATCTATTACCTCTGTGCTAGAAGAATACAAGCAACCTGAGCTGCTGGCATTCTCCTGCCACCACAGTCAGGTGCTCTGCAGTCTTGAGGGGCCCTCAAGCCACCTAAGCACCTGCCCACTTTCCCCCCTTACAGAGAAGCACCCTGGGGAATCTTGGGGTGCCTCTCCATAAGCAGGGAGTTTGGGGTTGCTCACTCAGCCAGCTTTAGCAGTTCAAGTGTTGTACACAAGTGGACCTGATGCATTTCACCCTGTAAGCAATGAAAATCAAATATATGCAAATTATTACATAAGCAGCCAGTCCAAATAAACTTTATAGACTGCATGACTGGAATATCCATAGTTTTGGCCATTTATGCTCATTTGTTTCATGTTTTAAATAGCTAAATATATAAATTATTCTGCTCCTGTAACCAATATCATCCAGAAGGATTCGGTTCATTTTCAATGTAAACTATTCATGCAGCATTATTATAGCAAACATCTTGAGACGAATCATCCAAAAGAAATTCAAGGTCACTATACACTCAAGAAATTATGATCAGAGCAGTCGTTAGGGTCCCTGTCCATCCTCAGTTCAGGGAGACTCTGAGGTTCTATTGGCAGGACAGTGAAAGTCAATGGATTTCAGCTTGTGCACAGCTCCTCATTTGCCTTGATTTAAAGGTCCCAGTCTCAGTCCTTTATGGTGTATTTAGGCTTCCTTATAGGCCTCTAAGGGACCACAAGCTTCTTTAGTCCTTAAATGTATACCTTGCTGCTGTAATTGAAGCCATTTTGTTACTGTAATTCCTTCCTAATATTACAGTTCTAGTCAAGTGCTCGTTCCCTCTGGAGGCATCAATTATTATGGGTTTTAAATAGGCCTCTATTCAATATACCTACTTTTACTCCCAATGCCAAAATCAGGTCACTATTTGTGATTCTTTCTTAGTGAAAAAGGTTTTGTGTTTCTAATTTAAAATGTACCATACAAACCATGGAATATAGGCTAATTCCACTTCTCAGCGCCTAACTTGCTTTTCAAAGCAGGAGGTCAGGGGGAGAAGGGGGGTCCTACATGTTTGGGGCTTTGTTCATATTCTAAAAGCTTTTTAAAATATGGAATGTCTTAAGATGGTTTTAGATAGATTTAGTTCATGTTTTGAGCCCCCATATGCTTGTATACAAGGGGAGGCACAGGAGTACAATAAATAGTGGCCCAACCATGCCCTTTTATAAAATGTCTCTAATAAAAACGAAGACGACATGAAGATCATTGACTAAATCATGATTTTGAGCCATTGCCTTCAGTAAGGGTGGTGTAGTGATGTGTTATCCCAGCTGGAACAATTCTGGCTGTTTGCTTAGTATCTAAGCACTTTACAATCATTAATGAATTTTATCCTTGTGATATTCTAGTAAAGGCTTGCAATCCTAGCCCTATATTTCATAGTGGGAACTGAAGTATAAGTTAGATTAAGTGACTTGTCCTGGAGCCCACGCTAGAAGTATGTGGCTAAACTGAGAATTTAAGTTCCCTGAGTTTGAGTCCAGTGACCTAGCCACAAAATCATTCTTTGGAAAACATTGTACCCACGGTCAGTGCAGTATCTCTGGACCATAGCGACTGCCTCACACATTCAGAGGACCAGCTTTTATTCTCGTCTTTCTCATGGTGTTTCCAAGTGCTACTGCAAGAACAGATGAATAAAGAGAACACAGATTAACATTATCCTTCCTTCACCCTTTGGGAAGTTTACTGCTACTGTAGGTACCAACTCTGGGGTAGTCCTTGTGTTTCATGAATGCAATGACTAGTGTTGCATGCAAAGTTATAAGGGGAGGAGAGGCTTCTATAGCTTTTCTTTTCACCTTTTCTTTTCTTCTCTCAGCACACAAAATGCCAGCTACAAATCAAGTGCATATGTTTTTTGTTTGTAAATATGTTATTATTTAATATTAATAAGGCCTTAAACATACCCTTTTTCAAACAATTTAGGACACTTTTCTGATGGATTAATTGTTATTAAACTTACTTTTTTCAAAATATTTCACCCACACAAAGTCGTGAGATGCTTAAGTCCTACTAGTGTAGCAGTTGTAATATGTCAGGTGCCTGTGAAATTGATGCTTTTCAAGAGACACAACTGCAGCAGCATCCAGCCCCCAGATTATATTTTCTGCACCAAAAAATGGCTGCCATTTTCTGCCATGGCTGCCCAATGCCACAGGAGGTTCCTTGAAGCATTTATAATTCTCTTAAAACTCCCACAATGAAACCATGGAACTGAACTGGCTAGGGGATGAATTATGCTATTAACAGAAGGCTATGGTTTTGCTTTATCATTTAGCTTGCTGTTGGAAGAATGACATTCATGTGTGATGGATTGATTGATGAGTAGTCAGTCTGTCCTCTCTCCTATAAATCCATAGTTGGTGTGATAGGAACAAAATGACTACGTAATATACTGTAAATCAGCTTCTATTATCCAAAAAGAAAAAAACTGCAAAATCAATGCACACCCATATTTCTTGAGGTTAGGCATGACTTACCAAACTGTTCCTATGTAGCTTAAAACGTTTATGCATTTGGACTTTCTTCCTGAATTTTCAAAGTGTTGTTTTACTCATAAAATACACAATCCCGTGTACTTACGTGGCTGCTGCATGGTACAGTCTACCTTCTCATGATTTGCTTTAGTTATTAGAAAAAGGGAATTGGCTAACACTAAGATTTTATGAGGCTGTTAATATTTAAATTCCTCAGTGGCTGACCAAGACAATGTTAGTGACTTAATTCTCCATTTCTGCTGCATACTTTTTTCTTTCCAATATAAATGCCACACTGTTCCTGTGTTTTGTTGTAGGAGGTTGAGCTCTGTCGTGTAAGCAGTCAAGAGAAGTTGGGGCTGACTGTCTGTTACAGAACGGATGATGAGGAAGACACAGGAATCTATGTCAGTGAGGTAAAGATTTTTGGGAGGACTCAATAGAAAAATAAGAACAAGTGTTCTGAGACCTAACTGCAGAAATACGGCCCCTTAACCAACACCTGTCAGATAAATGTAGGAAAGTAAATTATGTTATCCAAGTAATGTAATTATTACCAGCTTGATTGTTTAATATGAATGCTGTAAATACAACATCACAGTTTTGCAAAGTGCAAAGAAGTCTGACAGTTGTCTGCGATTTGAATGAAATCCCACAAGTACAGAGAAAATCAGGCAGAGTTCTTAATCAGCAAACCTTCTGATCCCCACACCTCTGTGCCCTCCCCTTACTGCAGTCATATTAACAATACCAATGCCTTCTTTTTGACCTGAGGAGGAATGTGTTGCATTCAGAAACGTCTCTAGCTATGCTACACAGTTGTTCCAATGAAAGATACCCTAAGAAGTCCTTGCCTCTTGCATATTTTAACTTATATACTCAAAGAAGAGAGGGAGTGAGTATTTCAAATAATCTGATTTATCCTGTCACATTTCACAGATTTACTAACTAACAAATGGAGGATCTGATCCTGAAATATGTTGAACACCCTCAATTCCCCTTCTTCTCATTCTCCAGAACACATTTAATACTTTGTAGTATCAAACCCAAAAAGATTTTCAGGTGCCTTGTTCTCCAACCATTTTAAAAAGGATTGTTTTCCTGTATGAAAAGGGAAAAATATTATGAATCTCAGTTTGGTATTGGCTGTCCTGGCTGAATCTGATGCACAGTTTGTCACCTGCAGGTGACATATATCACAGATTTCTGAAGATCGTGAAGAGAGTGAATTTCATAGAAAGAATTCTTCTGTATTGCAATAAAATTAATCATATAAAAATGGCAATGGAGAAAAAGATTGCTCTATAATAGTGTAAAAGCAGTGTCAAAGAAGCTAAAAAACCCAGCCTTAGATCAAGAATAAGGAATTGCTACAAAATTAGTTGAGAGTAACTCTTCCCATAGGTATATAAGCACTACTGTTAAAATCTGTTTGACCTTGTGAGGAGGAAAAAGGTAAAGAAATCTTTTAATACCACATACCCTTATATCTACAATGTGTTGTTTTTCCTACATGGAGGGCATTGCTCTGCTTCAAATCTCTCAGCCCCTTCCTTTTAAGGGAATGTAATTATATTATCTTTCATACTTGATTAAGCCCTTCAGAATCAATTTCTGTTCTGACAACACACAATAAGAAAATAATATCTAACATCTTTAGAGGACATAACCTGCAAGCCAAATGCTACACTCAGAATGTTTAGTTTGAAAAATGGTTCTTGGCATGACAAGGCAAAATAAATGATTTAAGATAACCATCAAGTGAAAGGAGATAGATAGTATTACCCCTATGAACAGTCGGTCATTGCTCAGGGATGCAATATTGTGTCTCTGATAGACTGTTAGGGGATCCCTAAACATCTACTTAGGTTAAACTAACTTAAAATTAATGGATTCCAACCAGAACCTGTATACAGCATCAATGCATAATCTATGTACAATAGATGCTTCTTTGGGTTTATTTTTAATTTTATTTAGGAATGTAAAAATCTAGAGAAAAAGGTAAATTAATAACTGCTAGAATAATTTATCAGAAAATATGTTCATAAAAGGAGAATGCCCTTTCTTAAGTGAACAGACCTGTCTGTGTGGAGATCTCAACTGTTCATTAGCGAGGCTCCAAAATCACTGCAGTCCAAAGTGAATTTCCAGAGCCTAAGAATTCAATCATTAATACTCAGTCCATGACAGCTGAAGGTTAGTGCTTGACAGTCATGTGGAAAAATATTGGTCTGAAAAGCATATGCTCTCACCTCTTACTGTCTAGGCTTTTTCTAAAACAAGGTTTTAGAAGGTTTTCTAAAACAATGTGATTATTCAGGGAAGGTTGTGTGTTCATCTGACTGAAGAAAAATGTAATCTGTTTTTGCATAAGGTAAGCAATAGCATGTCCTCCAAATGTAATCGTTCTTGGTTTCTGAATATTGTTCTGTGCAGGTTGATCCAAATAGTATTGCTGCCAGAGATGGCCGGATCCGAGAAGGAGACCGCATTTTGCAGGTGTGTGTTGATAAACTTTTACCTGACCTCTTTCCTAAAAAAAATGTACATAGCTATCATCTTTCTATGGACTGCTAACAACAGATGATAATTCTCTTTGTTAGTGTGAGAGATGGGAAAATTCATGTCTGTCTTTTACACACTATGGGTGGGAGTTAAGGGGCATGCACTAAAAACTAGAATGACAAACTTGTTCTGGCTGATGTACTTCTACCCTGCATCTTTTTTGCCATATTTATGATCAAATATTATTTCTCATTTGTTCATCTCATTGTCAAATTCTAAATAGGGCTGCTGCAAACATAAATATGGGAGGCAGTGCCCTGATGATTATTCATTAGTAGCATAAATCTGGGTAAAACTTCAAGTAATACCTAGCATGGTTAAGAAGCTTTTCATAGAAAAGAAGGACTAATTGTAAAGGAGATTTTTTAATGTACTGGAGATAGGAGCTTGGCTAATTTTGCCTACATCTTTTTGCCTCCATCATTCATAACTGAACTTTCCTGATTTCTCTGGTAAGCCACCATGAAAACAATTGTTTTATTTATTCTTGGTTTCTAATGATCCATTCAAGGAGCATCTGAGATTTATTTACCCTCCAGATCTGAGATAGGTTCCTCCAATAAAGCACAGTGCTTCTCAGCAGGCCACACCAGCAGTGCCTTCAACAGCAGCAACAACAAGACAGATTGCTGTATAATGGAAAAGCAAAAGGAGGTTATACTGATAACAGCGGATTAGCAAACAAATGAGCAATATAAAGATCTCAGATAATGAACAGCTTCAGCTTTGTCTGCCCAAACAAACCTTGGCCACCGCAATGTAGGTGCTCATGGGTACAATGTAGTTCACATTCAACTGAAGGTGTTTCATCAAACAGTATTAAGACTTGTGTATGCAATATTTGAGGAGTGAACCAACAAGACAGTCTGTATTTGAGAGTATCCACCCACAAGCACATGTTTTAGAGAACTGATTGAAAAAGCATGGGTTTGAAAGGAGGGGAGATGTTAGTTAGCCAAACAGGATATTCAAAAAGGAATGGATTTCTCTTTCTTTTTAACAAGATGACATTAAAATAGAATTGTCATGGGCTACTACACTAAATTATGATCAAACCTCATATTTATTTAAGACACCTTATTTGTTTTCAGAACTTTTAGCTGAGAAGCCACCAGGTATGTGGGTGAGAGAAACTGAAAACTGACCTTGGGGAAGGTAGAGCTAGGAAAAGATAGTGACTTGGTTCCACATTTTCAAGCATGTACAAAGCTGTGTTCCCTTCCCAGGCAATGGTTTGGAACCTGATGGTGTCCTTTTAATTGTGAACCTCATGGCTTTCAGTTTCCCAGTTCAATCAGAAGGAATTTATAGCTGGTACAGTCCGCAGGGAAGGAAAGCATGTAATTCAACTGCAGAGAGGAGAAGGAAAGCAGATTTCAGTGCAGAGAGAAGCACATTTACTGAAATTATGCATCACTACACCCAAACTCAGGACTTCAGTAACCCTCTGCAGTTCATGTTGCTGCTTGTGAGCTCCCTTCACACTTTTCTAACCAACCACCCTTACATTTTGACTTCTCTTCACTGAAGCCCCAGTGGTAACTGCAGGTAATGGCAAGTTGCTTCTCAATAACCAGCTTTGTAACTGCCAATCATTATTTCAGGGACATGTTGCAAGATCAATCTGATTCCATCCTGCCTGTCTTTTTAATTTCCTCAGGAAACATCTTTGCTTAAAAACATAGCTGTATTTTGTACCCCAATATCAGCTTTGGGAATAAAACTGATCTGAGCACAATAGGATCTACAAGGTAGCTGTCTAAAGTGGCCCTTATTTCAGAAAGGAAATAAGTTACATTTTAATGCGTTGAGCCTCATGCAGGTGCCTGTGGCCTATTCTCTTTATAGTCCAAAAGGTACACATTTTTCACACCACAAAAACTGTGCCCACAGAAGTCTCATTTCATGCTATAAAAAGATAACAGATCTTTGATTTGATGGGATTATGCAGAGATCTGTTTAGAAACTGAAAAGTCAATGAATTATGTTTCACATGTATCTATAGAATGCCTTCCATGAAAAGGAAACAGGGTATAATGTTGATTTAACTGTCTAAATCAAAACCAGTGTATTTGATATTAAATTCTAGTTTGTTTCTACATAGTTGAAAAACCCTTCCCATTTTAAGGCATATTGAAATATTTAAATGGATAGTATATGATATTCATTCCTGATCCTATTTTATTCCTTTAAAAGTTTCTGGGTGAATTAGACTGCCAGGTACAGTGCAGACAGTCATCCAGCAGATAGTAGTTTGGGACCATCACATTCATTTCACTCATGATTCAAGGCTCAAGAAGTAAAAGAAGATTCTGTTGCATTTTTTGTAGATGAATAGCATTACTGTAATTCCAGTGATGATATATAGCCAGGAATTTGATCATTAAAGTTAACACTAAGTGAGTTATGTGGGGTTTTCTTTTCTATCTGAAAATGCATTGGCCCTCTATATACTCTTATTGATGAGGTAACTCAGAGAAATGAAAGATGACAATGTCGTTATATAGGGATTACATTCAAGTTTGGAAAAGCATAATCCCTGAGTAGGTAGTAGGAGGCTCTGGTTAAGGGAATGGGGGAGAATGCTTGTTTGAGCATTTGTCAGAGACGTATAGCAGCCTTCCTCATAGAGCATGGAACTGGTTCCTTTAGGCCTTTCTACATGTTACATTTATGCTTTGATTAATGTGTTAATCGCACCATAAATTACAAGGAAGGTACACATGCACCCAATTTAAGGCACCAAAAAATGGCAAACCAGCTATAAAAATGTTCCACATATAATGTAGAATATGTTTATGTTTGTTTTGCATGGTACCTTAAATTGAATTTCTGGTGTGTCCAAACTCCAGGGCTATTGGTATTCAGCAATCAATCCTGAGTCTCCACAGGCAGTGCCAACAATCTTCAACTGTTGCTTTTAGAGCTCAGTTTTAATTGAAATTTAATAAAAAGCCAAATATACACTGACTGTCAGGCACAGAGAGCCATTGGGATTGCCTACCAATGGGTTTAAAGCCCTGCACTAGGCAGCTCCGCCAGAACTGCCAGGCATCACAGGTTCCCAACAGGGGAGATATCATAGACTCCCAGCAGGGGAGCTGAAGAGTTTCCTCCACAGGAGACTTTAAATCCCACACGCTATCAATTCCTTGGCAAGGAAAGTCCTTTAGCTCCCCCTGATGAAACTGATGAGATGCAGTGGGGCTGCCAGGCATAGGTTTTAAACTCCGAGGAGGAAGCCCTAAAACAAACCAGCAGCCATCGCAACTTGGTTATTGGGCTCCAGCCTTGGGACAGCCCTGGGTCATGCAGGACTGTGGGCACCTGTCTTTCAGCTTGCCAGCACAGGGGGAACACAGGATCACAATCATTATTATAATCATGATCTCGGGCTCCCCATGCACTAGCAAGGAGAAAGGGTACAATTGGAACTGTTCCCTGATTCCATTCACAAGTGTCATGACAGGAGGTGGGATTGCTGGGATTGGGGATCAGATCCCATGGAGCCTTTAAATGAACATGTGCCAGGGGCCTTAGAAACTCACATACTGCACACAGCCAATATTGTTTCCTTAAGCAGATGAGAATAGCCTAATTACCTTTCAGCAAAATCTGTAAAATGAAGGGAAGGACCCTGCAAGGATGACTGTGATGAGATTTGCCTGATATTGTTCAGCTTTTATTAATGGACATCCAAACTTTGCACAAATAAGTGTCTCTAGCTGTGATGAAATGGAGTATTTTGCAGTCCCATTCACCTTCACTATGATAGGGCAGCCTCCAGCTGCTATAGGTATGCACATACAGTGATCTACCTTGAGCCACCAGACCAATCGTATTGAACTCACAAGAACTATGACATTTTACTCAAGCTGACGACCTGGTCCATGGTCTCTGTGGTTGCTTTTCTGAATTTAAGATCAGGGTAGTTGTATACAACTAAATAGGTGTCATTTTTTTACAGTCCACAATTTGCTTTATCAACATCTTGCATTCTGTCAGTCAGACAGTTAGTATATATATGGGTTTTTATTCAGTCTTAAGTAAAACTGTGTCTTCAAAGCAACTTGTTGAGGCTATGCATTTCACCCCTTCCCAGTCTTCCTTTGCTACAAGCTTTGAAACTGAGTGTCATTGGTGGGGAAATAGATTAATCGGACTGAGCATTGGAAAGTATTTTTATTCCACAAAAATATTAAAATCATTCCCTTTTTACCTCTATCCCCAGTAATTCTCAAATGAGCCAAATGCTTTTTTGATGATGCTATTTGGCATCACAAAGAAAATCCACTTTGTGCGTCATTCAACTAATGAAAAAAAAAAAGCCTTCATTTTCAGAACAAGATGATTTGTACTTGAAATCTGATTTTCTTAAGCAGCATCTATGGTAGTGTTTCAAAAGGGCTATAAAATACATGTAGTTATTAGTGTGATTGTTTTAAAACACTAACAGCAATACAAAGAGAAGTTGTAGGAAAGCAGATTTTTATTGATGATCTATTTTTTATTTTGATTATCCCATTGGGGGCAGGGCTTATGTTTTTGTGATTGTAGGGTCCTGGACACTGAGTTGCACACACAAATATAAAATGATTAAATGAAACAGCAATAAACAGTGGCCTGTAAGTATTGCCTGGTGAGAGATAATACTGTAGCCCTCTAATTGGCTCTCTACAAGCATACAGTATGACTGATTTCAGCTGTAGTATTACCAGTCTTGCTTCCACCAGCACTATTATCTCAGAATGACACTTCCATTACTCTGAACGGAGAAAGATGAACGTCACCTGTCAGGGGCTGGTTAATTGTGTTGCTAGATGTATGTTGCCAGGGCGCAGGTTGGACATTTATGAACATAACTGCTTCCTCTGATGTCCGCCATCCTTCAGCGATCAATACAGCTCTTACAGTAAGCGCATAATTGAGTGAAGGCACTTACCACTGAGGGGCTGAAGATGAGCCCGTTGTGCAAGTTGTATTGTCCATACATTTACCGCAAATGAGCTGATATTTGCCCTTTATTGTGTGTTGCTTTGTGGAAATAGAAACTAATGTGCCACTTTCATTTGTTTTCTAGATAAATGGCCAAGACATCCAGAATCGAGAGGAGGCAGTGTTATTGCTCTCCAGCGATGAATGCAAGAAAATTGTGTTGCTGGTTGCAAGACCTGAGATGCAGGTTAGAATAAATAGCTGCACTGAGTCAGGGACTAGCTTATCCTGTACGTCCATTGCATTCATGAGTAGTGAACAGCAGAAAAATAGGAATGCAGAGGTCTGTGTCAAAAAGCCAAAAACAGTAAAATAAAAGAATCTTTGCCAAGCTGTAACTGAAGGAGAAAGAAAAGCTAAATTATTTGGGGCTTATTACACATTGTACTAGCTAAATTATTCAAGTTAATATAGTAGATGTACCTATAAGCAAAGCTGATTATTAACTGTTAATATGATGCTTAAATCAGCATAAGTGGAACCTTAAAATACATAGTATTTGGTGGACAATTCTTAAGGATTTCTGAGGCAAAGCATTTGTCCTCCCCTCTCTGGTTTTCACCTGCTTATACCACTAATACAATGGGCTCCATGGCTCTTTTTACACAGGCTTTCAGCAAACTATCCATTTAAATATTGATAATGGACATTGTTAGATTACTAGCAAAACCAGTCCTAGGTCTTTTCAAGGGAAATTGGTCATGTAAGAACAATCCAGATCATATAATAGAAGTTGTGTAGCAAAAATATCTTTCTGAATTAAAAAATAATGATGCCTTGCAAAGAAATGTTTTATACCTTTGCAGTGGGCGATGTTCGACTGGTCATCACAGTAAAGGAGAAGTAATAGTGAAAGAAAAGTGTTATTTGTACTTCCTTTTATATTCTTTTTATACCCCACCACAAAGCAAAAAGGACATTATATTGTCACTGTTCTCACCATCTGTCAGTAGTTCAAACAAATTTGGTTATGTGGCCATTTGTTTCCCAAACTATTGATCTGATATTTTTCAGGCTTGGTAACTACATACTCTCTATAAATTAAATTGAGCAAGTGTAATTCAGTGTCATTTGGAATCCCTGCTTGAATCCAGTCGTTATACAAGATAACAGTTTCAGCATATATTTCTTTTTATGTTCTTAGCCATTGTAAATAGCTTCTATAAAACTGGCTATATACTGCTATAGAGTAGAGCTATTCATCAGAGGTTTATGTAGCGAGGTTACAACCTTAGTGATCTAGGGAAGTTTCCACTGCTTTTCAAAGATCTGTTTGAGCCTTCAACTTAAGGTATTTAAAAGATTTCATCTCAGCAGGACCTCAGCAAGCACAGAGGTCATCTATTTGCAAGGTGGGGCCAAACAAAAGCCCATTTTCTGCCTTCACTAGTATTCATCTACATTATTATATCATCATATCAGTATAAGCTAAAATGTGATCCACATTAATCCAAGATAACTCTAAATGTGGACACACTTTTTCTGGTATAACAGGGCCCTTTTCAGTTTAGATTATTTAACCTTGGAAGGGGATAGTAAGCAAAAGCCTTCTTATTCCAGGACCACCAAGGTTTATCTGGCAGAACTGTATCAGGTCACCACTGCTAAGATTAATTGGTAAAACTAGTAAAATTCTTCCTATTTACCTGGCAAAACATCTGTGTGATCAAGTCCTGTGGGCCTCAGCCTTTTATTTATAGAGAGAATGTGATAATGGCTGTGCTCCCAAGGACTCATTGCCAGACCATACAGTAACTAACAAGGCATCTTTTACAATATCTTCATACCATCAGTGTTACTTATTAATGGGTTAGCTTTAAAAACTGCGTATTGCAAGAGCACATACGAATAACCCTATAAACTATTGTGTGTGTACACACATTTGCACATGTGTGTATTTGTGTTTGAGGAGCATACTAGGAATTGCTGTATTCAGTCAGATCAGGGCTGCATGGAGCCAATACTGTCTGCTGCTGGATACTTCAGATGAAGGTTTAAAAAACTCATTAACAACAATTGTAAAATTAATGCCGTTTGGTGGTGGGGAGGGAGAGTTTCCCCCTAACCCTAGTGGTTTTCTGTGCTAAGAAGCCTGGAGGCTCATACTCTTGATAAGGTCAAAAAGCTAACTGTAAAATAGAAGTAAAAAAGATTTTAAGGATCATTTTAAAGATACCTGTATAGTTGTTCTAAGCAGATACTAGAATAGGGTAAAAGTCAGTCAGTTTTTTATACTATATGTTGCTATTTGTTGATTTGGCTTCAATAGAGCTGTGCATGTCTGCTCCACAAAGTAACTGAATATCATGTTTAGGGACCTACTTAAATCATTATTTCATGTTTTTCACAGAAATGGAGATTTGAGGCAATTTCCATGAAAAGCAATATTCCTCACGATTTTCAGCAGATTTGCCGGGGGTGGGGAACTTATTGAAAATGAAATGCTGGTTCCCCACTGGGAGCCGGCAGTTCTCACAGCTGCTGGCCCACAAAAAAGAAGCCAAGATGGTGGCTGGCCCTCCTCCCTCTGCTGTTGATTGGCTGAGAGGGCTGCCCATTGTGTAGCCCCCTCCCCAATCTGTGGCGAGGGGTGGAACTGCATGAATGGTGGAACCGCCCCCATCGCTCAGTCAACCAGCAATGAGGGATGGGGCCTCTTGAAGGGAAGACCTCTCAGCCAATGAGCAGCAAGGGGAGGGATCTTGCTGCAAAACACTACGAAAATGGCAGCAGGTGCTGCAATTGACCTATGAATTTGCCTGCCTGTATCCTCTATTTCAGTAGGTCCCTAATCATGCTACATACAATGACGTGTTTTGTAGCTTCTTTGATGTCCATAAAAGTTTACAGGTAACAATATTCTCTCTAAGCATAGCATAGTTAGGAGTATCACTGTTGTCTAATACTTCAGCTTCCATCCTTCACCAGCTCTGTGTCACCTCCCTTCTGTACTGCTCATAATTACCCCTAAAATATGGACTTGGGAAGGAATCAACACTGCTGCCTGTATCCTGCTGATACTTCCCTGTCAATCATAGTCCTAAGCCTCAGTGAACAGTCTTCTCTTTCTTTAATCCATCCAGCATGATATTTGGAAAGAGATTACAAGCACAAATGGACACACAGTTTGTATATACACTATAGTGTGCAGGTGTGTACAGCCACAATCCATTCACTTAATTGAAAACCTTAGCATCAGCCCTTTTCTTTTTACAGCACTGTCTTTGACATATTTTAAAATAATATTATATTCTTTAAAAGAAGCCAGTTCAAAGACACATCCAAAGAACAAAATAACTTTCTAAAAGTCATTCCATCATTCAATCATCCTTTTTTTGTTTGTTTGTTCACGTAGGTTTACCTGAAAGAACAATGCAAGAAATGTGATGGGAATACTGAGTGAGGTACTATTGAAGTTCAGGCACTAGAAAAACACCGGGGTAGAGGTTGTTAAAGGAAAGAGCCCAATTGTCTCATGGCCCTATTAGTATCATTGCAGTTCTTTTAACACTGGAGCTCTTGGAGGTAATGAACATGACAGCACCAGGATTATGCAGTATGCCTTTCATACATTTTGAAAGGAAATAATGTTCTGTGCTGTGCAATCTCCTTCATTATGAGAGAAAATCAGTCATACTGTTTCAAGAAAGGATAAAAGGCCTAAGAGTTCCATTTTTTATCATTTTTTCTTCTTCTTCTTTGTAGAGAACCAAACTGCAGGAGCCTAGCATTCTGAAAAGAATCATTATGATAAAAAGAACTAGTCAGGCATTGCCATTTGGGTTTACCCTATTTTAGCATGCGTCCCTGCTAACATAATATAATGCACTAATGTATTCTTTACAGCTGGAGGAAGGGTGGCTGGATGATGAAAGGAACGAGTTCTTAGAGGAGTTAAACTTAGAAATGTTGGAAGAACAGCATAATGAAGCGATGCAGTACACAGCCAATGAGGTGGAGCAGGTAGGACTCATGCTAAATGTATCATTGGAAATTTTTCTAGGTGTATCTTTTCTATTAATAGAGAATGAAATGTTAAGTTGAAAAATTTTATTAAAGGCTTTGATCGCATCTTAGTGACAAAGCTCTATCAACTGCAGTTCATTTTAGAGAAGGAAAATGAGAACAATAGTTTTTTAAAGCCAGTTGTAACAGGGAAGATATTTGAAGACCGGAAGAAAGTAAAGCACTGATTTCTTGTTTCCCCCTGATTTCTCATATTTCTAGACTAGTGTCTAAAATACAGAACTATTTGTCAGTCTGAAGCATTCTCACGTAAATTTATGAACTTTAAAAGCTGCATTTGGACAACCTAACTAAGACACAGCCTTGTAGGGCTAAGACATAAAACTTACTATCAGGACTGCTCTAGCCCCAGAGAATTTACAATCTGAATTTAAGGCAAGTAGTAATAGGTACTTAAAATAGTAATAGGTACTTACTTTAAAAAGTAATACATACTTAAAATAGATGAATGGAATGTAACAGTGACAATAAAATGTGTAAGAGGTAAATGTCTTTGCTCATATGCTGCCCTGCTATTCTGTGGATATGTATGCAAAGGGTCAGTGGTATAGAAGATATGAAATCTGTTCCCATCTGTGGGCTTGAATAGTGACTACATGTAGAGCTGGGCAGGAAATGAATATTTCATCTTCAAAAAGTGTTTAAGACTTCAAAGATGTTCTCATCTTCCACTGGCAAAAAAAATGAAGACCTTACAAACAATTTTTAGTGAGAAGTGCATTAGGGAGGTAAGTGGGTAAGTGCACTGAGGCAGCCAGAGACCAGGTCTATTTAGATGTTTATACGAAGTAGAAAAAAGGCCCAGTAAAGGAGGGTGGGAGCCCAGTCTCAGAATTGCTAATAGCTTGGTGGGTAAGAACTTGTTTTCTGAGACTTGGACTAGGCAATTCAACCTCATTATTCCATATTCCAGATGAGAGTCATAAGTATGGGGCTAATAGTATTCTGGGGCGGGATCAGAAACCAGAAATCTTGGTCAGAAATTCCTGTCCAGAAATTCCTGAACAAGAGAAGTCTTTTCTTCCAAGAATGGTACATACTTTCCTGAGAGTAGTTTTATGTTTGACAAATTAGTATTTTCCAATTAAAAGACATTTTTTGGAAAACTTCTGACCAGTTCTGATTGCAATCCCTTTGTAGATCTTGTACGGTATATTAAGGCCACTGGGTTTGCTTAACAAGAGGTTTGATAGCCCATTCTGTGGCTTACGCGTGATTTAATCTCATCACCAACTTTGTTGTTGACCTGACATGGTTCTTAGTTGGTGGCAAGAACTTTGTAGTGATGGTACATACCACGGATGCTTTTAAAACTGCACAGATTTTATGGAAAAATGTAGGTGTATCTGCTTGATTAAGTGTCCCTTCAACTTTTGAAGGAGTCTGAGGCAAAACTAGGACAAATGGATCTTGGTTTGTAATGGGGCATCAGCTTACAGGTTGACTAAAGAGTTTTCACCTCAGAGGCACTAGGTGGAGAAAGCCAAGCCATAACCCTCTGTGGCCCTTGTTACAAATTTTGCTTAGCTCTTGGAATCCATACATACTGAAGTTTCACTTCTAAATGTGAGTCTGTGTTATAAGATGCCATCTTTAACCTATACTACAGGCTGTTTTTGAAAATTTCTATACAGAATTTATAATAGGAAACAACCATCTTGCAAATGAACTGACTGGAGAATTACATCTTTTGTAATAGTTTTTGAAAAGTTTTATGGAATGTAGTAAAGAATTGTATCCCTGCTTTAGAATCCTATGGAACAACTCACTAAACTGACAGGAAGGTTATAATCTCAGTTCAGTTCTTCATGAAGTTATCTTTGTGGAACTTAGTTGGCTTCATCCATGTCAAGTTCTATAAGGACAGTTGGAAACAACTTTCAAAAGAATATAACATATTTTATATCCACCAAACCCATATATGTAGAATAAAGCAATTATCCTAAGTAAAAGTCCAGTACAGGAAAGCATTGGTTAAAATAATAAATGTCTATTGTAGTGGTGCTCAACCTTTTGGCCTCATGGGTCAGATGAGTGCCTTGGGGGCAGTCCACAGGCTGGATCATATTTTATGAACCAGAATCAGGCCCACACACATTTGGCCCTTCGCGGCCTCAGCTGGTGTCCACACACTAGGATTGGGTACCATGCCACCCCTGCATGCCAGGATTGAGCCCTGAATTGCTTTTGCCAGTGCTTGCTTGCTGGTATCGGCGCCCTGGAGCCCTACACCTTCCCCGCCCAGCCCCATGAGCTAGGATTGGAGCCCACACTGCCCAGCCCTGTACACCAGGACCAGGCTGCAGGCTGCCCTGTGCACCCAATTGAACGTGCAGGGCCATGGCCCATGGGGCTCCCCACGGACCCCTGGGGATCCCTGCAGGCCAGTTAACAGAGCATCAGGGGCCAGATTTGGCCCTCAGGCCAGGGGTGGAGCATCCCTGGTCTAATGTACAAACAGCTAAAATTTCTGAGAGAAAAAATATATTGAAAGAAAAGACCTGTTTCAGAAATTCAATTTTCATATGAAAGAGGAATCCTTCAGTCCCTTTTGTTGCATTATTGAAATTATTCTACCAGCCTCAGTCAAAGCAATGGTATTTATCTTTGGGCATTGTCACACAGGGTATGTGTTAGGTCTGTGGAATGGTATCTAGTATTAAAGTTAGAACATGTTCGGAGTAGTCGTACAGCAAGGTTTACTACACACCCTGCATGCACAGTGTACGCTCTGCCACTAGAAGGTCAGTGAGCAGGCCTTCCAGCATACAGTGTTGGAGCGACTTTTTCCCATATTTCCGACAGTGTCCGAAAACAGCTGAGCAGAAACAAAAGCACCAAATGACTGAGGTGATGTAAGGATGCAAATTCCAATCTCTCCTTGATCGGCCGTTCCAGCTGGCGTCATCTCCAGGGGCTTTTTGGAGATGATGAGAGGTGGAACCAAGCAAATCCTTGCCCTGACTGCTCTAATCCACGGGCCCTCTTCATTTTGGAAGCACGAGCTCCTGGCCTTAATGAAGTGCTGCTTTGAGGACCATGATGCTGCCATGGGCATCATGCTGGCCCACTTGAAAGAGGCATGACACAATGCCACACAAACTGAAGTGCTGTTGGCCTGGTATCAGATGCCACCTCATCACTGCTAGGTGCTACTGGTGAGCTTGGATTAGTGGGGGCAGCTCATGCTTGGAACCTAGGATGATGAGCAGTGGCAGTGAAACTTTAGGATGTCCCGTGGCACGTTCATGAACCTTTTCACTGAGCTGCCTCTGCTCCAGCACCAAGACATTGGGCTTCAGCGCCCTATGTCCATCGAGAGACATGTGGCCCTGCTTATTTAAAAGTCAGCCTCTGTTCTGTCACCAACCAGCTTGCCATGGACCCAACAAACAGCAGTGATAACTGTGTACAAAGCGTGTGATGCCATACTAGAGGAGCTGGGGCCTCAGTTCATCTAGCTCAAGGATCCACAGAAGGTTATCACTGGGTTTGAAGAGCTGGGCTTCATGAACTGTGTGGGCACCATCAGTGGGATCCACATACCTATTCTGTACACACCTCACTGTGCCTCTGATTACAAAAATCATAGGGGTTCTTTTCCACTATACTTCAGGGAGTTTTTGGACCACTTCACTAACATCAGTGTTGTGTAGCCAAGCCAGGTACATAATGACCATGTATTCAGGAACTCCAGCCTCCCAAAGGTAATGGAGTGGGGGAGTTTATCCCCGGCTCCTACCATGGTGTTGGGTGGGCCAACTGTTTCCCTATTGATCATTATAAGGACCTGGCTACCCTACTGCTCCCCAGGTTCATAAAGCCATTCACTGGTCAGCTCCCCAGGAAGGAGTTCTTCAGTTATCAGCTGAGCATGTTTCAGAAGGTGAAGTGCACCTTTGGGCACCTAAAGGCACACTGGAGATCCCTAGTGGTCTTTCCTGAACTCAGGCTAGGGAACATTCCCAGCTCTTTGGCTGCTGCCTACATTCTCCACACTATGTGAGATGAGAGAGGAAGCCTTCCTGGAAATCAGACCAGCTCCAGATGGACCCATGGAGAGGGAAGCCCCTAGCACTTTAGATGGTGCCCAGGCTAAAGTGACATTCCCAGCAGAGTGTCCAGGACAAAATCACCACCAAGCGATACTGATAAGGGAAGCCTTGGCTTCCTGCTTTCTGGGACAGCATTCTGCTGGGTGGGAGGGGGTGAGGGGACCTCTGAGCAATTATGAACCCTTCATTAACTGTGCTGTACCTTTAATGTGCTTTTCCAAAATATTGGTAAAATTCTTTCATATTAATTGCTGGACTTAATGCTGCCTGGGTGAGGGAAATGGAGAGGGGAAACCAAGGAACAGGAGAGCTGGAAGACTCGTGCAGATGCTGCATTCAGTTTGAGAGGGCTACCTGGGAAGGGGAAACCAAGGTACAGACTGCAGACTAGGTCAGGCTAAGGCCTGGACAGCAAACACACCAGGGACAGATTTCATAACTGTGCAAGCTTTATTTCTTCAAATGAACCATGCAAACTGCGCAAAATGCACATTTGCACGAAATGTGCTGTGGTTTTGGGTCTATCCAAGTCCTTTATCCGCAGGTCTCTTGGCTGTCTTTGAGGGTCCCTGAGGGTACTATGGCATGGAAGCATGCCCCTCAACTCTGAGCCAGATGGCTCCAAGCTGCATCTCCCTGGGCAGGTCCAGCACTGCGCTGCTGGGGAGCTGGAGGGGGGCATATAGCACCAAGGACCTTCCTCCCATTTCATCATCAAATTTCAGGTACCTTTTTGTGTCACTGTCCCCCTGCTGCTCAGATTCAGGCACCTGGGAGGTGGTAGCATTCCCTGCTGCCCCAGGCAAGAAATGGGCTGCCCCTTCTGTGATGTTCAGTGGACCTGCCACTCAGACCTGTGCTTGGCATTCTATGCTTGGCATT